GACGAGAACAGCAGTTAAATGAGATATGTCAGTTTTGGGGAGATGTTAATGAGCAGATGGTATTCGCGATGTTGATAATTGAGTCTTATAAAATACTCGGACAAGTTTTGTCATCGTGGATCGGATGTATATGAAAACTATTGTAATAGTATAGGAAAGATTTATATATGCTGTTGATAACAAGTAACTCAACGAGAAGTCTTCCAAAATCACCCCCTCCTTGAGATTGAGAACAGATCGAGTTACGATCTGTGAAAGGAAGTCTTCAGTCGGGCTTGAAAGTTCATGTTCTTTCAGGTGTTCTTCCTGCTCAAGTACATGTGATGTGCCGATGGGTTTCACCCGTTTCAAATCATTGATTATACACTGCTGTCTTGCTCGTCCAGAGAGATTTTGAGATTATCTATGGCTGAGTGCTTCGTGTTATAAGTTGTGAATTCCACAGGAGCATTTAGCTCCTGCAGTTTTCGTTATGATAACGGTTGCGTGGCATTTATCAATATATGCAGTTGCTGATGTGAGCCCCCCGCCGCTGATTCTCACTGAGCTGACTATAATGGGAGGCATTTCTGAGAATTTTCCCGAGATCTAAACTGATCGCTTCAAACGAGAAATATACACGGAAAGTGAGAATCAGAGAAGCCGACGTTGTATCCCCTCCTCAGGAACGATTATTGTTGTTTTGTTGGGGTTTCAAACGTCATGAAATGATGAGTTGCTTCGCGTCATTCGGTTGGGGGTATGTGTATAAACGATGTACCTTCTGGTTTGTAGGCAGGTTATTGACTGGTGTAATACAATCGTAACAATGCCAGTAGGCGTGGTCGGATGGACGGTGTTTGGTACGCTCAGTGGATTGGGGGCTCTTGCATTCCGAAGATATAGTCATATCGTCACCGCATGCACCAAGGCAGTTGGCCTGTGTCGTGGCGCTGCATTGAATCATACTGATAAGAAATTCCGTGTGGCTATAACAGGTAAGTTTCTATCAGAGAACTTGAGCATCTCCTTCACGACATCAGGTGCTACCTCTGGTGTTGGTCGGGCCGTAACGGAGATATTAGGCCGATTTCAACCGCAGGTTTCATTGGTGAGCTAAAAGCATGGTGGTGAAGTGAACAGATAGATGTGTGAAGGTACTCCTAGTGCGGGATGTCCAAGCTGGAAGTGAAATTGCACGAGTACTCGCTGAGAGATATGGAGCTCCTGTGCCACCCGCGGTCATATATTGCGACCTCACCAGCAGGGCATCTGTAGAGGTAGGTGGGGACTAACGGGAGTGAACATTACATGATGTTGAACTTTTCAGAATGCTGTTAAGGAACTCAGCGATATGTGGTTCTCCACGGATTGTGTTACAGAGTGTCAAGGCTTCGATGCTGTTATTCATAATGCTGGTGAGTGATTCGTTTTGCAGTGAATTCACATTGAGACTACTTCATCTGTAGAATTCTGTGCAAGACCAGGTGTTTATATTTTCAGTGCTTCCAGAGCTATATCATTCGATTCTGTGGAGTTCACTGTATCAAGGATTGCCCTATGAATGTATGCTATATTGTTGGTGTATAGGTTTCCATAGATCGTTTCAGAGAAATCTTTCACGTTTTTTGAAACAGTCGATTCAATTTTACCGTGTGCGACTTCACTCAGGTGTAATGTTACCTCGGGACAAGGTTATACCAACCAATCTGGTGGCTCCAGTGATGATGTCAGAATTAATATTGAGGGCTCGAGCAGAAGCTAATGTTCAGAGAGCACTGCGCATGGTGTATCTGAGCAGGTGGGCTCATCCAGTTTGAAAGAAGACGCATGGCATGCTGGCCGCTCATGATGTTATCTACTTTCAAATACGGAGTTTTCCCGCGCCAAGAACTTCACAATGGATGATGAAACGGTTGTGGAACGTTGTAAATCGATTTCTACTATAATTGTTATCATGGTCCTCATTAATAAACTCTCGTAAAAGAGTTATCTTAGGGAGATGATCCGCAAGTTCTATACATTGTGTGTATAACTCGCGGGTATATCGTCTCTTATCATGTGTAATACACAGATGGCTTCTATATATCTTCTGTTATTCAGTCGTCTTCACAAGAGATCTCTCCTCGCTACAGCTGACGATGTAGTCAGTGTTCTCGACAACGCTGCTTCAATCACGCGGTATGCTGATAGCAAACGAGCCATCTTATCCTATGTGGCTAACAAGTGAATTATTCCTAACGCGATTAGCAAAATGCATAGACCTCTTCTCAGGAGTAACAGTCCCGGACGAGATCCTAGCACGAAGTTCGTTGCCTGCACTCCAGGGCTTTGCAACACCAACTTGGGGGCTCCATTTCTCCCAGGCAAGTTATTGACTCCCTAGTTGATGGTCAAGATTCGCATCGCAAAATTCGCAGCAGTAATTTCCTGTGGAATATTTCAGGTTTGTTGTACAGCGCACTAGCACCCATTCGTTGGCTGCTACTCCGCGATTCTACCGAGGGCGCACTCGGTGTGTTAAGAGCCTTACTTGATCCGCGAGTTGAGAACGGCGACTTGGTCGATGCTTCTGAGTGTAAGTTTCACGTAGTTCACTCGCTAATGAGTGTTCCGTCTTCAGTATTGGAGCATCTACCTCATACCAGACCGGACCTCTTTGTTGGCGAGGCCGTGAAGAAATGGGCAATGCCGTGAAGGAACTTTGTTGTCACAGTTCAGTCGAATTTCTCACATTGGCTGGTGATGATGTTAATCTGTGAACTATTTCGGGTGGCATAGTGATAGGGGTATTAGGGTAACACCCAAATTTCGATGGTAGAATCGAGCGACGAGCACTGGCAAACGTATCTCAATTCATGTACTGTAGTCTCAAGCCTGAGACTCACATTAGGATCTAGATACGACAAGGGAGGGAAAATTCTGAATTTTAAATTCAGCAATTCACTGAGTAACAGCCTGTTACTAACAGGGGGTTGGTGTTGACTCATCACTGCTGAGCCAGCTAGTTCCGAAATTAAGTGGCTATCGACGACAGACTCTCGCGCAACCCAACATCGCTATGATAAGCATTCGTATCGGATAGTGACGAAATAGACCAATGACCAAGCCTCAAGTCCGTGAGATACTTGGAAGTTCTGGCAGGAACAAGCCAATACACGAACTTCTCCCGAAAAATGTTCCCAATAGCTCTGAAATGTGAATCTCGCACTAACTTTCGCAAATCGAAATGGAATCCCCGAGTCGAGGACCCCGGCACATCACAGACATAATCTCGTGAGCCCCCGCCATTGGTCAGTAAGTTTGATGGGGAGTAAACAAAAGACAAGAGCGACAATGTAGAGTGACGGATCCTTAGTTGATCGCATGTCGATGAAAACGACACATCGTTCGACACATAAGTATGAAATATGACCGGATCAGAACTGATGCTGCTGAGCTACAGCCAAGAATATGGAAGAGGACTGGTAGAGTAAAGTCCGGCAATGCCACCCATCATCGGCATCGCAGTCTCATTCGGTCGTTCCCGAACAAGCTCAGGGAATAAAAATACGCTCAAACCTTTTTAGAGCACTTCCAAGATCTATCCTTATACAGAGCCGTACGCGCGTGTGGTGAAGGTAGAGGCATCAACAAGTACTCAAATTTGGGGAGCTGGAGTGAGCACTTGAAGGAGTCTGGCATGAGATAGCCCTTGGAATCCTGCAGAAGCTTCCAACATTCATAGCCTTCGAATCTAGCTCGATAATATGGGCATGTCTCGTTTATCGGGAAGATGTAATATTTACATACGTAGACCTTCTTACGTCCCAATCGTCCTTCCTGATGGGTGAGGGCAACAGTGCCATCATAAAAGAACTCTATCCTGCTGACATACTGTGCAAAGTCTCCGTCCTTGTCGAGGCATGGAGTGTAAACACCAACATGGCCACGAACGCCCATACCGTAGATGATCAGACTGGTGATGAGATGCAGAACTCTCATGTTACGGGTAGTTAACTGAGTGCCAAATTGGGTCCAAGACGGTCCCATAATGGGGCTCCCATCTACCCTCGAGGGCCTCGAGGGTAAATTCGAGGCCAGTTAGATTCGCGAATTGTCGTTCCCCATGTGATCGGGTGAACGAGTTATTCACCCTCTTGGAATTCCGTTGAGAAAATTCCTAAAACAGTTTCACGCATGCTGTTCCACGCAAGCTGTTTCACGTTCAGTTTTCACAAATGTTTCGCTTGCCTCGTTGCTGTGACTACCGAAGTCTATGGGATTAAGGAGCAGCAGAACACAGCTTTAAGCCATAACAATATGTTTTCGAACTACATGTTGATTCGAAGTCATGGGAGGGTTGGCGAGGAACCGGCTTCGACCCATTTGGATCATCTCAACCTAGGATGTCAGCTTATGGGGTCAGCACAATACTGTGCGACGTCGCCAATCAGCTGTGGCAAATGTTCTCGCACTTGGGACGGAGAAGCATTAGCGAAGCAAGTGACGTAGGGCTTACAGCAATAGTAATTGGCTTGGACGAAATGGAAAGCTACTGCTTTCTAAGGCTTGAATCAAAGGGAGAGATAAAAGCCGAACTGAACTTGTTCTTATGACTTCGAATATGTCGGAGACAGAGACGGTTTCAAATGACGGAAAGACACTCGTACGCCTTGGGAGAAAGATTGTGCTAGGATTCGCCGATGGTAGAGCTCGCCACAAAGGACAGCATTCTTCATACCGTCAAACCTAACACCTTGCGGTCTTACTATTGGATACGGACTAGACTCAAATCAAATGAATGACATGCAAAGTAATAAATGTGAGGTATACAGTCCCGGACGGGATTCTAGTACGAAGTTTGTTGCCTGCACTCCTGGGTTTAGCAACACCAACTTGGGGGCTCCATTTCTCCCAGGCAAGTTATTCACTCTCTAGTTGATGGTCAAGATTCGCATCGCGAAATTCGCAGCAGTAGTTTCCTGTGGAATATCCCAGGTTTGTTGCACAGCGCACTAGCATCCATTCGTTGGCTCAGCCAACTTGGCTGCTACTCCGCGATTCCGCCGAGGGCGCACTCGGTCTGTTAAGACACTTACTTGATCCGCGCGTGAAGAACGGTGATTTGGTCGAAGCTTCTGAGTGTAAGCTTTACGTAGTTCGCGCGCTAGCGAGTCTCTCGTCCTCAGTATTGAAGCATCTACCTCATACCAGACCGGACCTCGTCGTTGGCGAGGCCGTGAAGAAATGGGCAATGCCGTGAAGGAACTTCGTTGTCACAGTTCAGTTGAATTTCTCACATTGGCTTGTGATGATGTTAATGTGTGAACATTTTGGGTGGCATAGTGATAGGGTATGGTGGAATTTCCGCTAAAATTATCCGCTGAAATTTTCCACCGAGATTTCCACCGATGGAAAACTTACAGAAAAAATCCAAAAATTTCTCTAGAGACCGATTTTTTTTTTGGAAAATCGCTAAAAATAGCCACAAAATCGTCCCGAAGAGATCAGAGCTAATGAAGAAGAAAAAAATTCTTCGTCCCGAAGAATGGCTAAATTTGTCCGTGCTGGACGAAGAAGACCATCGGAGGCTTCAATTCGAAGCCTCTCATTGGTGCCTATCGCCGAGGTGACCGATAGGCTATCGGTCACCTCGGGTACATTCTACGATCGACCTCAAACGTCGATCAGTTGTGCGAGCGCTCATTGGAGATTGAATCCCATCCGCTTGGATGTCGTAGATTCTCAAAGCTCATCTTGCTCACTTTCAATAAAAATGTCGGCAAAATTTGGTCGACATTTTTTGTCGAATTTTGTTCTCGATGACAAAATGTCCACTATACGAAGTTTTGACACTTTTCCACCAAAAGTACAAACCCTGTATATCGTGATGGGTTACATGCCATGGATTTGATCTGACCCTTGAAGAAGTGAATATCAGATTTCCACTCGTTCGTGATGCTCACCGAACTGTTAGTATTGTTATGATATGGTATGACTCTACCGTCGGGCCAACGAGCCCGCATTTGCCCTACTGGTGTGCTAGACCTGGTAGGAACATTCGAGACAGGATCATCACCATCTCCTGGATGGGTGAAGTCGTCGACAGCCATTGTGTTGGAGAGCTCGGGTAGGACTATAAAAATTTACGACTATGACAATTTACATAACTGTTCGTCTTCATATCAGGCACTATACTCTGAAAGGCCTCGGTATAGGTTCGACCAGCCGAGATGAAGCAGGGAGAATTACTGTTTCCGGGCTGGACCCCAGTTTCCGACTCGCACTGTACAATCACGAAAACGGCGCCGATGTCTATATCATGCTGCTGCATTTATCGGAAGATTCTGATGGTCAGAATACATGCGTAGATGGCTTATCGCCCGATCTTGATAGCGACCATGCGGAACAGTTTGGCTTGGAGGATGAAGTCATTCCGATTCCAGTACGTTTGGGACCGACAGCGGATGATGACGAGTGGGTAACCCTGGCATACGGAGAGGCAGTTCGGTGGGATGTGAGAATCTACCAGTGATGGGCATCATCGATACTTTGCCTCCCAGCCCGAGTCAGTCCTTTGCCTTGGTGATTCACACACAGCAACATTGTCGTTGGGAGATTACTCGAGTATTACACCTCAAGCCTTACTTAGACAAGGTAGCACGGGATCAGAACCAGATACAGAGAGTCACGGCAGCGAGTCCACGACGTGAGTATCGCATGCCTCATGAGATGACACCAGTGTTGACAACACCGTGTTGTCCCATAGGGCCCTCAATACAGAGATCAACCGAATAGTGTCGGCAACTTCGTCTGATTGCCAGTCAAGTTTGGGTAATTCTTCTCCAAAATCGAGGAAAGGTCGGAAGCGCAGACAATCGAGTCGCAAAGGTGGACAATCCATCGGCTCACTTCACGTTGCGGCTCATCACACAACATATCAGGTGTCTCATTCTACGACGATGCCGATCCTTCCGAAGAGGACTGCCCTCCACTGAAGCACCCCCGCCGAGCCTCTGTTGTGCAGTTTGACTCTGAACCCCACCCGATATGACTTTCCATTACGTCCTACTTGTGTTAACCAGTCAGCAAATGAGGTAGAAACGGTGTACAAAATGAGTGTAGCTGAGAGTCTCAATGAAGTTCTGAGTCTCTGCAGAGGCCTCATGTAGTCTCAACCTGAGACTACGTAGAGACCCTCGCGTAGGTGTTTCACCGATCACCACATCTGCTAAGTCCTTCGTGATAAGTACGCCAACTTGTGAGGCAGCAAACTTGGCGCACCGCTTGACGATATACTATGTACTGTGTAGTGGGAACTGCGAGATTCTGCTACTGCGGGGAGAGGTCGGATAGATGGAGCTCTTGACCTGCCACCTGTGACAGGAAACGACAGGTGACCTGTCGTTTCCATTATGAGAATGGAATCGATATCGGTGTTATGTATAGAAATATGGTATTACCGACAAATACCCCTCCACCATCAATATTATCGACTCAGACCGAATCGATAGTATTCAGACTAAATCATTCAGTGATAATATCTATGATATAATAAATAGTATAAGATATTACATAACTGATACAAACTTCGAAATGACGAGATGAATAAACTAAGAATGATTTCGCTTGACGGCGGGGCCCTGTTATACGGAGAGATGGAGTCATACTTCATTGATGTCGCATTAAACAGCATATCAGAATCCCCAGAACGAATGCTCTGAGTAACTCTGCAAATCGAAATCTGCGTGTGAGTCACAATTTATGTGATTTGGCTAGGATTAGTTTGCAGTTTTTAATCATTCAATACGGCTGCCTGTATTGCTATCAACTTCTACCTACTTCGATTACTGTTGGTCAGTTTCATTCTAGACTGCACCAGGTGTCACCGTGTACTCAACGTGGCGCACCGGTGAATGTATACCCAAATGTTGTGAGCTACAACTTGTAGCGTCTTGGCGCTCAAGTATGATCTTCCC